ATAATATACACATAATCTTAAAATGTCTATGTTTGTTAAAAGTCATGGGAATGGAGATATTTTTCTAAAATAGAAAAAATGAGAAAGCCTAAGCAAGTGATAAAGGTCTGTTTAGTTTTGTTATGATATATAAAGGATGAGACAAAAATAATATATACATAATCTTAAAACGTCTATGGTCATAGTTTTGTCAACTAGTTTAAGGAACAAAATATATATCTAGTCAAAGTTTATCTGAGAATATTTGAGTTTTCACCCAAGCCTTATCTACATGACACATGATAATTAAAAGTACCAGACAGGTGGGACTAACTTTATTGGATGTTTAACAGCCATAGTTTGAGGTCTATACTGATGTGGTCAGAGGGACTTAAAGGACAGTTTTTGCTCCTTGCCCTCCATGGTCGACTAAGTTCCAAGGGACTATGGTACATCTCTCAAAATGTCCTGTAACTGTGGTGAGTCATCTGTCCTCTTGTTTAGCAAGGCCATGGAGACCCCAGAAGATGGACTTGAACCAGTGTCCAGTCTACAAAAAGGAGGGTCAACTCAGAGGAAATATCACAGTCATGCTTCCAAGTGAAGCCAGACATGGTTGAGCAAGACCTCTGACTTTTCTTCACATAGATGGGACTGGTAAAAGAAAGGAGCCAGGAGCTCCTCCCAAGCCCATGTGACCCCTGAGGAACAGATCCTCAAATGACCTTAAGTGTAAAAATAAATTGATTTATTTGGGCCGACTGTATTGTCTTAAACACCCAAAAGGAAAGTATAACCAAAGAGTAAAGTCATCAGTATATTTCTTTAAGAGTTCAAGGGATTACACTTCCCAGACATTAGGCTTAAGTCCATATAAAAAGTTATTTAGACAATTATTTCTCATTCATGATTTTGGTCCTAATCAGATAGTGCTGCTCAGATGTAAGACTTCAAATCTTGGTCTCCAATACTGTAGTGCCCAGCTGTAGCTAAGGGAGACAACCAGTTATTGTTCTAAAATGATGGCTAAATTTGTTTTCTCCCCGTATCTAGAAGCCTTCTAGGGGGAACTGACACTGATTCTAACCACTCCAATAGCTATCAAAATACCTAAAAGCAAATCCTAAATCCATCACTCTAGAGTCCAGCCATTGAAGACAAAAGAAAAATGAGGAGGAACCCAATAGAGGGATGCTTTTGGAAGCCCTTGTTAAGAAATTCCAATGGACTCTCATATGAACATTTGAAAAGTGTCCTCTTCTTTTCCTAGTTCCCAGTCTAGAACATGTAATGTTAATTACTCTTGCCTTTACTTCTCCTTCATATCTCCTATTCATGATTCAAGGACTTTCTTTTCCCCCTAGAGATAAGAATTATGCAATTTGGGAGTCTTTTAGATAGACCCACTGAAGGGGTACTCCAATTGCTTCACCCTGCATCCCTGTTCAGCATGGAAGAAGCCAGAGTGGTCTGCGTCCCGATTCCCTATTGGCAATTTGGGTATCCTCTCCAGAGGATGGCGTGATAAGAATAGGAGGTAGGAATTGACTAGGCAGTTAGGGTAAAAAGACCCCAAAGAAAAGTAGACAGTTTCTTGGCTAAAACTCACAATGTCCTTGGGCATCTTAGCAACCTACTCCGTTCCAAATGCCAAAAATGTTGAAAATATTTGGGAGCTTTTATCTACTCCTCAAAAGATTTTAGGGTTACCTTTTCAGAGTGGGGAATGTTAGAATAGCCAAAATCCCCATAAAAAAAAATAAAGAGTACATGAAGTTATCAGAAAAAATGATGGGGAGATATGGGAGGAGTTAGAGGGGAGGACGTGGGCATGGATTTGATCAATACAACTTATATGCATGTATGAAATTCTCAATAAATTATTTATTTAAAAAAATAAATAAAAGTTAATAAACAGGGGCTGGGTGTGATGGTGCACACCTTTAGTCCCAGCACTTGGAAAGCAGAGGCAGGTGAACCTCTGTGAGTTCAAGGCCAGCTTTGTCTTCCTAGTGAGTTCCAGGACAGCTGGGGCTTCAGGGAGACCCTGTCTCAAAAAAGGCAAAAAAAGAGTTAATAAACAATTGAATGAAATAAAACTAAGAGAGTGACTGAATTGAAAGGGACAGGAGAAACCCATGGTACAATGCAGCTATTGCTACTGCGGCTGCTGCTGCTGACCCTCAGCCATTGCTGCTGGCAAGCAGCAGTTTAGAAACTCTGAAGTGGCAGGCAAAAGAAATCCTAGAAGGTTGATTGGGACAGAGTGGTCTGTCTGTACTTTTTACAGCTTGTCAGTGAAAGCAAAGGCAGGATTTTGTTGACTGAGCCAGGGCTGCAAGAGTGGAGGGCACAGAGGAAGGGATAGAGACTCACTCTGTGGGGGAGTAGATGGAGCTGGGAAGTGGAAGTGAGCCTTGGACAAACGGTGGCATGGGGGAGCCTGAAGAAGGGCAGGGAGAGAGAAGAGGGAGATTAGGCCTTGGAGCTTGGGTTGATCAGGCCCCTGTGGAGGATTGTAGATGGAGGTTTATCAGCTGGGTCAAATTCTGAGGTTAGAGGGCAGCTAAGTCTTTTGGGTTTGGGTTTTAGGCTTTGTGGACATAAAAGAATCTGATAGGTAGTACATGAACTACAGAGAGAGGGCCGGGCCCACAAAGTGAGGAAACATTGAAGATAGGTATCTCATGCCATTTTCCATTAAGTTTCAGGAGTGTTCCCAGTTTTGTTATAATATTAATATCAAATGTGCTAAATTCAGGCCAGTGGTGGCCTCTGTCCAGAGTATACTTAGGCCAGATTTAGACCGACAGCCAAGTAACTTTGGTTGGTTGGAGTCTTACTAATTGGAGTTCACTTAGGTTTGTCCTGAGACAAGTCAAAGGTGTATCTTTTGGAACAGATCATTTGGAGCCCATGGTGGATAGGCTTCCAGAGTGTAGGTGGATCCCCCAGTAAGCTCCTGGAGCCTTACTGAATCCCCTGTGGGTAGGCCTTCTGGAGACTGGGCAATTTGGATGGAACCCCTAGTGGGTGGGGGAGACAAGGAAAGAAGTTGGATCCAGGCCCTCAGAGGCATCCCTCTGGGTTCAGCTCCACCAGAACGGCCTGGTGTCTAGGAGTGGACATGCCCTATCCTCATTAATACCAGTGTGGGGTGTGTGTATGTGTGTGTGTGTGTGTGTGAAAAGCTGTGTGACCTGTGGAAAACTCCTGGCGCTTTCGAGCTATCTCAGTCTTAAGACCCAGGATGGAAGGGGCTCCTGGAGCCCCTGAGGCCCTGGGACCTGGTCGGTGGCACCCTGGAGTCAGGTTCAGATTACCTTGTCTCCAGGGGTGGTGTATGCAAGGGCAAAACAAATGGAAAGTGGCTTCTGGACCCGGAGGTCTGGCTAGATACAAAAAAGGAGAGAGCAAAGAGTATCAGAGGCAGAAGAGGAGAATTAGGCTGGAGGGAGCCAAGGAGAGGCTCCAAGTAAAAGGCGGTCCCCTAGGAGTCCAACCTGAGTCCTAAGATTAGGACTGGACAATAGGAAACAAGAAAACAACTGAGTGCATTGGTCAGGCAGATCTACCCGGTAGGTGGGCTTAGGCAAACTCAGCCAGGGTGCCTGACACTCAATGTCACCAATGCCAGAGAGGCCCAAAGGCCTTTGGAGAGGGTCCAGAGGGGGTTGGGGCCTCCAGGATGGGTCCTTGAAACTCTTCCCCATTCAGGCCACCAAATGTTAGGTTTTTGGAGAATAAAAAGAAAGATAAGGGTGTAGGATGCAAGAAACCAGAGCCAGACCTGCAACAGGCAAGGAATAGATCTTCCTTTATTCAATGAAGAAACAGTGAGAGGTAGAGGCTGTCAGGGGGAACCAAGCATCTACAACTAGACAAAGAAACTGGGAGGGGGCAGTTATAAGAAAGTTGTGAGATACAGCTGCACTTTGTGGGGAGTTGAATTAGTGCCGGGGGTTTATTGTAGTTGAGGGTCTCTTTTCTCAGACAAGCGGGTAAGTTGTCTATAGCACTAAAGGATGGGCTCCACAAATAGTCTTTTTCAGTCAGAGGAGTGACCAGTTGATAAGGGTGAGCAAGGCCAGGCCACCAATTTAGGGTCAGACACTTTAAGGGATGTATGGCTTTTCCTCATGAGATTTGTGGCTCTTCTGCAATTCACATATTCTATCACCAACACACACACACTTTTGTTTTCCCCAGTACTTTCCTATTTTCTCTCTCTCTCTCTCTCTCTCTCTCTTTCTCTCTCCCCCCCTCCTCCTTCCTCCTGTATCACACCTCTTTTAAAAGACAGGGTATGTCCTGTAACTGAGGTTGGTGGTCCTGAACTCTAGATTGTCCTGTCTCAGCTTCTCAAGCGCCAAGATTATGTGAACCTTTAGTATATCAATTAGACCACATTTGCAGATTATCATAATGAACATTTTATGGAACAAAACCCTGCTGATACACTCAAAATTCTTTGTGACTTCATTCTTGTTAATTGTCATAAAAGTCACATCGCACTTTCCCTGCAGAAACTGCAAGAAACATTGAACAAAAGCAACACTGTTTTGTTTACTTTATGGTCACTAGGCAATTCCATTCATGAATATTTGTCTCCATCGTGGAACAAGCACACAGGCTTTTGATAGAATGTTCGGAAGGGCTGTTGCCTTATTGAAAGCAGCCCTCAGTCTCCATCTCTTTCAGGGGGCTCAAGATGTTTTACGTTACCGTAAATAACCCTTCACCACCCATTACTTGATTTCTGTGGTGCTGGGAATGGATGAACTATAAGGACAGTGGGTCAGGGGCTGGAGTTTTGCGTCCTTAGGTGGAAAGAGAGAGAAGGCCAGGGACCCAAGAGCAGGAAACCGGGATGGGAAGAGAGAGGGAACGCCAAAAAACTAGAATCCCCGGGGACCACCTGCAGACATCTGCTCCAGATAGCCAATCAGGACCCAGAGTGACAGGTTACTATGGCAACCATAGAGTCTCGCGAGACTAGATACAGTGCCTGCGCACTGCTCCTTCAGGACTTCCCTAGTAAACACCCGAGTCCTACGCTCAGGATTTTTACGGTGCGTTCTCGCTCTGTCGCCACGCTGGGGGCCTGTGTGTCCTATTGGGAATGACGGAATGCAGAACGGAGAAATGTGACGCTCCCTGAGCGACCGGGCCCGCCCACGCGGAAGACTGGGTGGGGCTTGGGCCTGCGCGTGCGCGGCGGACGTGCACGTGGAGCCGCCGCGTTTCGCTGGTGGCGGGCCGATGTTGTTGGCGGTCGCGGGGAGGCTCTTGGACTGCGCAGGACGCCGGTGCTCAGGTGGGAGCGGGACGGGGTCATTCGGGGAGGGCCGGGCGTCTGGCAGTCGCTGTCACCCAGCAGCCGTAATGCCCTAGGCCCTTCTCCCTGTTCTCACCTGGGGGGTTTTACCTCCTCTTGGAACGTGGACCCCTCTCCATCTTGCCGTCCTTCCTTCCCCAGGCGCCGGAGCGCCTCTGCTGCTGCCTGTCTTTTCAGGTCCAGTCCCCGGAGTCAGGATCTGACGCTCCTAATCGTCTGCAGCTGCTTCCTCGTTTCCTTTTTTTCCACTGCTAGGCGCTGGAGTTCACTGTCTGCTTTGCCTGCATTCCCTAGTATCTGTAAAATTCTCTAGGATCTCTGTCGCAGAGACCCTGAACTTCATTTAATAGTGTTTCTGGGAGACCCTCATCTTCCTACTTCCTTTGGAAGGAATCCCGATATTGGTTGTGTCGGTCATTGCCTTTTCCTGACCCTCAGTAAGGCCGCTGAATACCCGGGTTTAAAGTGAACCATTTTTATTACCTGCTGAAGCCAATGACATTTTGCTTTGAGCAACAATTAATGGTCTGGTGCATCAAGGAGAATCCGTAAGTATTTGATGAAGAATGTGGTCGTGGGGCCGATGGTGGGAGCAGTATTCTAGGTAGAGAACACGGTGACTAGGACGTTTTGAGAAACCAGTGGTTTCATTAAGCATTGAGTCCAGAGTTGGGTGTAATGTGCATAGTGGGTGAAAGGTGTGGGGAGGGGGAGCGGGCTGGCATGTGGAGGGCCTTGTATTTTTACCTTAAATAGCTTGCAGCTGGGGCTGGAGAGATGGCTCAGCCATTAAGAGCATTGGCTGCTCTTGCAGAGGACCCAGGTTTGGCTCCCAGCAGGGGATAGGACACCCTTTTTTGGCCTCCAAAAGAAAACAACTTTGCAGTTGATCCATTAGGCAGTAGCAGCTCCAAACAGCTCACAAGTCACACTTAAGAGCACTGGTTGCTCTTGCACAGGACCCAGGTTCAATTCCTAGCACCTACACAGCAGCTAACAAATGTCCTTAACTCCAGTTTTAAGAGGATCCGACGCCCTCTTCGGATGGTCATGGGCTATGTATAACATGGGTGCACTTACATACATGCAGGCAATATACTCATATACAAAAATGAAAATAATAAAAATATTTTTAATTCTTGGAGAATTTCATAAAATGTATTTTGATATCCACCTCAGTTCCTTCAACTTTTCCCAGATCCACCCTGAGCTCTATATACCAACTTTGTGGGGGGTTCTTTTTTTTTTTTTTTTTGAGACAGGGCCTTCCTGTAACCCCAGCTGGCTTGGAACCACTATGTAGAACACTCCGGCCTTGAACTCACAGAGCTCCACCTGTCTCTGCCTCCCAAGTGCTGGGATTAAAGGCCAGCCTGGGTTTTTGTTTTTTTAATAACCTGTAGACTTCAATTTGTGCTGCCCATATACTTCCAGATGTGGGGCCATTCACTGGAGTGTGGTTGATGTACCAGGAGTCATGCCCTTGAAGAACACTGACCCTCTCCCAGAAGCCAGTGACTTCTATGGTTCCTCAGTTAGGAGTAGGGGTTCATGATTCCCTTCCCATCCATGATAGAGTGTTGACTGGCTTATCTTGTGCAGGCAACCACAGCTGCTGTGAGTTCATGAGTGCAGCAGGCATGTCAAGTTCAGAAGACATTGTTTTGCTCTAGTCCTCCCTGACCTCTGGTTCTTTTCTGTCGCCTCTTCCATGATGGTTCCTGAGCCTTGGGTGTGATATGGATATCCCATTTGTGGCTAAGTACTCCATAGCTGTGAAGCTATTCTTACCAGGCAGCGTATTTATAGTGCATGGCATTCTGCTTATACAGACTTTGCTTTTTTCATCTCCCCTTCTAGGTTACATATATCAAAAGTGAATCTCCATCTTGCTGTCTCTTGGTTGCAGAGCACTTCATTCATTCTGTGCTGTTTGCAGGTGAGATACAGTAACTGGTAAGCAGTTTGACAAGGGCTGTTAATGCCACAAACGCCTTGCTCCCTCCCTGGTAATTTATTTCCATCTATCTGACCACCTTCAACCAGATTTCAGCTGCTAGCAGTCACCAAACATGGATGACCTTCTGTTCTTGGGAGCATAAAGCTAACAGAGCTGGGTGCAGTGCATGATGGGGAAGGAAACAGCATAAATAGCAGATGTCTCCCAGGTGTCTCCAGCAGTGGACAACCCTGACCTGACCATGGTTGTAGCTCAGAGGAATTTTAGCTTTCTGTGGGAAGGTGACAGTTGGAATGACACCATTCTTCAGGGCTACCCACTGTAGAGATGCCTTCTGTCCTGCATCAGCACTTCTACCTTTTTCAATGACTCACCTGGGCAGCTTTTTACAAGCCCTTTTTCAAACTTGGCTGTACTCCCAGAAATTCCAATCTAGTATAGAGCTCTAGGGGGAGGACCAGCCACCTGTTGTGTTCTAAAAAGCTACAGGTTATTTCTGAGATGTAGCCAAGATCAGAAAGAACGGACTCTTTAGAGAAACTAGTTATGATTATTTGCTTCTAATCTACACACTGGAGAATTCTATAGGCATGTTGGAAGAACCAGATAGTATGTGGAGAAAGTGCACTGAATCTGAGGATCCTTATCAAAGGGAACTTGCTTTAATTTTGTGAAATGGGCCTCTGTATGTAGTTCATGGATGGATGAGCCCTAGGAAGGAGGAAACTAAGAAGGGAACGCTGTTGCCTCTGGGAAAGGTAAACAGGATATGAATGAATGCAGTTTGCATGTCCAACTGAGAAAACACAAATCTTTAAGGCTAATACCACAGTCAGTAAGAGCTTTCTTATAAACAGGCAGACCAGTGACATAATGTTCCTCCTGTGATGATCCTCTTTATTTTTTCCTGATGGATTAGTATGTTTGTATTTCATCTCAAAATTTTGCTTTTTTTCATGAAATTGCCAGAGTAGTCAGTTTATAATCGTGAGACTAGAAAAATATATGCCTGTGTATGTATCACATTTTATTTTCAAAAAATATTTTATATATATATGTGTGTATCGCCTGCATGTAAGTAACTGCATCCCTCAGAGGACAGAAGAGGCTGTCTGATCCCCTGGAACTGGAGTTATAGTTGTTAGCTGCCATGTGGGTGCTGGTGTTCGAACCCGGATCTTCTGCAAGACAACCAGTGTTCTTAACCACTGAGCCATCATCTCTCCAGCCCCTGTATCACATTTATAAGAAACTTGGGACCACAGGGGAGAGAAACTTGACAAAGGAGGACAGAATGAAAAGTACTATTTGAAGCTTTAACAATGGGCATAGATTCCTATTTTGGTTCTTAAAACCAACCTAGTTATGAATTTCAGAGACTCTACAGATAAGTTCTCTGTAGTGGACACAGGGTCTTGTTCCCCACAGGCCTCAGTGCCTAGAACACAATCTGCACACTGAAGTAGCTCAGTGAATACTTGCTGAACGAACGAACGAACGAATGAATGAATGAATGAATGAATGTATGTTAAGGTGGCGTAGTGGGTAAAGGTGCTTACTACCAAGCCTGGTACGTGAATTCAGTTCCTGGAACCCACATGGTGTAAGGAGAGAACCAAATCTACAGTTGTCTCCTGACCTCTACATGTGCACGTGTCTCCTCCATTCCTTTGTAAATAAATGTGATTAGAACAGTTTAGAAAATGCTAAGAGATCTGTGGGATTGATACCATACTGTCATTCTCATGCTGCCCGTGTATGAAAAGCAGTCATGAAAAACTGGAGGGAATGGGAGAATGGCTACCTAATTGTAATTACATCTATAATTAGATCTAATTATAGACCTGCTGTAGCTAATCAGAAGGAAAAAAAGCTAAAACAAAAAAGAACTAGAGAATATACCCAAGGTATTCTCCAGATGTGTTGCCAGCTAATGTGAATGTTTTGTTTTGCTTTTCTCTGAAGGGTTTTCAAGATGGCTGCAGCCCCTCAAGCACCAAGGAGGGGATCTGTTCGGAAGACAAGACCTCTGGTTGTAAAGACATCACTGAACAACCCGTATGTTATCTCCTGGAGCACCTTGGAGAGGGAAGACATGCACTTTATATTACAGACACTTAAAGACAGGCTTAAAGCTATCGGACTTCAGAAAATTGAAGATAAGAAGAAAAGGAAAAAAGCATCTTTTGTAAACAAGCAAAGCAGAGAAAGACTTGGCCCAGATATCAAGGTTAGTGAGGATGCAAAGGAGAAGCAGCCTGCTGCTAACTCACAGGTGTCAGGATGGACACCTGTGCATGTCAGAAAACAGCTGGCTATTGGTGTTAATGAGGTCACCAGAGCCCTGGAGAGGAACGAATTGCTCCTGGTTCTAGTGTGTAAGTCAGTCAAGCCTGTCATCATCACCTCACACTTGATTCAGCTGAGTGTAAGCAGAACTGTCCCTGCCTGCCAGGTCCCCCGGCTCAGTGAAACGATTGCCCCAGTCATTGGCTTAAAATGTGTGCTAGCCTTGGGCTTTAGAAAGAATACCACCGACTTTGCTGATGAAGTGACAGCCATCCTTCCCAGGGTGCCCACCTTAAATGTGCCATGGCTTCAAGACAAAACTGAGGATCCCAAAGATGGTTTAGAGACTGAATCTTTGGAAAACCAAGACAAAGATAGTTTGGACACTTCATTTGAAGACCTTATGAAACTTAGTAAGAGCAAGCTTGCTGAAAGCAGAAAGCCTTTGGCTGCAACATTACAACCCCTTAAAATAAAGAAACTGATTCCTAACCCTAATAAGATAAGGAAACCACCCAAGGGTAAAAAAACTATTTCAAAGTAGTTTTGTGTAAACTTATTTCATGTAATTTGTAAAAGGACACTGTAAATAAGCCTTGAAACAAAGTGAATTGTTTATATATATATATTCCTTTTAAAAATACTTTGTTTTTATGAGTGCATTGCCTGCTTGTGTAAGTGTACCCATGTTGTGCAGTGCCTGTGGAGGCCAGAAGAGGGTGTTGGATCCCCTGGAACCAGAGTTACAGATGTTTGTTAGCTACATGTAGGTGCTGGGAACTCAACCTGGGTCCTCTGCAAGAGCAGCCAATGCTCTTAACTGCTGAGCCATCTCTCCAGCCCCATGTTTATATATATCCTTAAGATCTTGTGTGGCAACGCTCCTTTCAGCTATGAACAAGTCTAATTGGCACAGATACCATGAATGAAAGAAAACACTCAAAAGGTGAATATCAAAACAAAATTTTATTGAGACTAATGTCCATGCGTATATAAATTCACTGCTTTAAAGAGGCTGGCACAACGCTTGTTAGCAAGAACATCCGTATCCTACAACTCTGAGTATTTCTCTATCAAACTTGGAAAATGAGCCACAGACATGGTCTAGTGAGGTGGATGAAACACCTGGAGAAGATCATCATCATTTGTCAGGGAGACACTAAATGTTCGGCAATACATAGTCTCCAGAAGCAATATGTCATGTTTTACTTCATGATTTGGCTTTCTCTGTAGGCAGGTGTAGACAGGCTTGGGAGAAAGGCTTGACATATACAGCAAAAGCCTGATAAGGTTATTTTAGTAAGAATTTCCTCCCTGTACATGTTAACTTTCTTGCAAAATTTGGTATGTATCAAAAGTATGTTGGGGGGTGTAGCTTGGTACAGCCTGTGCTTAGCAATCCCTAGGCTTCATCCCCAGCAATAAAATAAGAACCAAAACAAAAAAACCCAAAACCAATTCCAGTAGCAATAGGTGAAATGGCAAGAGAGGAAAACAGGAACCTGGATTCTCAGGTAATTTTCTACAATCATGGATCTTTCCAGTTAGGAAATGGAGCAGTTAGGCTTTCTATACTTTCTATATAGTATGTGTTTGGGAAAGTCATATTCTGTTAATGTGGGGGGGGGATAATAATTTTTTTTCACATTAGATTTTGGTTGAACTTGTGGATTATGCACCTAAATTCTTCAGAACCCCCCTCCCCCCTAAACAATTTTTTAAAGAAACCTTATAGATTTTGGAATACAGGACAATGGAATTTTTTTTTTTTTTTTTTTTTTTTTTAGACAGGGTCTCTGTGTAGCCCTAGCTGTCCTGGAACTCATTATGTAGACCAGTCTGACCGGGAACTCACAGAGATCCGCCTGCCTCTGCCTCCCAAGTGCTGGGATTAAAGGCACACACCACCACGCATACCCGGCTTGACAATGAAATTTTTAAAAGTATCTGAGATTGTTGAATTTAAATTTGGTTTTAACAGCTACTTTTTCCAGAGCAGTTGTACTTTATTGGTAATGTGCTTTAATTATAGAGGGTGATGCAATTATTACTGTATTTAAAATGATGAAGTATAACAATCAGAATATGCAGTAAATGAATCTTTCAAAGAATAGTGGAACAGTTTCCTCATAAGGTAAGCTCATGACAAAATCTCTGGCCAGCAATTCTTGCCTGAAAACCTAATTTGTCTAAGATCTGATGGCATAATAGAAGCTGTGACTAAACTGGTTTACATAAAGCTTGTCTTTCAAAACAGCATTCAATGAATAGGTAGTTCTTGTTTCGCCTGTTAAAAATGGAATGCAGCCGGAGTGGTGGCACATGTCTTTAATCCCAGCACTTGGGAGGCAGAGGCAGGCGGATCTCTGTGAGTTCCAGGCCAGCTGGGGCTACAGGGAGACCCTGTCTCAAAAGACGGGGGGGGGGGGGGGGGGGGGATGCAGCTGGGCTTGAACCCTATGAAATGAGAAATCTGCCAAGTGTCTTAGGACAGAACTGGTCCCAGTTATGCACCACTCTAGGGCTCACATGCCCTCTCTTTGTAGTAGTATCAAGGATGGCACAGTTGTAACTTTCAATACCTTAGGACTTTAGGGTCAACAAACACTGAAGCTCTCAGATGCAGGTATTTTAGACTCTGCAGGCGATGCGGTCCAGTCTGTCACAACTTCTTGACTTGCCTTCATAGCATGAGGCAGCCGTAGGTACTACATAAATGAGAATGTGGGCTGTGTTCTGGTAAAAATCTTTGAATTTCAAAAGATTTGCAAGCTACAAAATGTCTCTTTGGACTATTTTCCTCCAACCATTAAAAAAATCAAAAAGACCATTCTCAGCTTGTGAGCTGTACAGAACAGGCAGCAGGCGAGACATTGCCTGTGGGTCACATTTGGTGATCCCTCTCTAGTATGGATTCTGATAGGTTTTGTTGGCTTATATATGACATAAAGGAAATGCCATGTTGTCTAAAAGAAGTAGCTTTCTGGACTGGAGCAGAGGCACTGGTATAGGAAAGGCAGGAAGAAGATCTATGGTGTGGCATTTGACTTACAGGCCAGTCTATACAATGACCTGGTTTAATGTTTTTCCCTTGGGTTAGTGGCAGCATATACACATAATACACATATACACTGTGTAACTTGTTTTTCAAATTCTAGGTAAAAACAACATTGGTAACAAAATTATGAATACTTATTTACAAGTAAGACATTTTCCATTAGCATGACAATTTTCATGATAAATTAAAAGTCAGCATAAAGGAACATGTGCAATTTTGCATAATAATAACATTCAGACCATCCATGTAGTGACAGCACTACTAAACTCCACTGTGCATTTAGTTTGACCTTAGAGCCTCTCTTCCCTTTCCCTCACATATCCTTGATGTTGCTGGGAAGAAATGAGATTGTACAGCAGCGGCAAGGTCTGGTCTGTCACAGGGTGTGCTCTTTCAGACAGCACACTTAGTATTTGCTCCAAACTGCTTCTGAAACAACCCACTGGCCTGCTAAAGACCAAAGTACAAATCTGTGTGTTTACTGATTTGGCTACTGTTTATGGGATAAATGTACTAAGTCACTGGTACATTTTCATATTGCTCCATACTGAAATGTCAATTCTATAACATTCCCAGTAGTATTGTGTAAGGTGATACACATATGGATCCTTTGTTCTGATATACAAATAATATCACCACTTAGTAAACAGAAATGCAGCAGTTTGTCCCTACCTAGTAGGACAGGTTTTCTTAACATACTGCTGGAACTTCTCTGTTCAAGCCGTGGAAAAACAGTCCTATTTCTAGAGTGGGAAAAAACACCCTCTCTAAACCAAGAAAGCCAAAAGTTTGAAAACTGGAGGAAATGTGCTTTGTACTCTTGCATCCCTCTCACAGTGGGTGACAACAGAGTGTATTCTAACATTCTAACTAGAAATGGATATTACTGGTCATCTGTTCTGATTGTTACCAACTACTTGGACTTCACTTGTGCTTTTGTTCTTCTTTGGAATGGCAGTTCCAGGAATCATTAAACAGCATATATGCAATGAGAATGTCAGCGTTCTAGAAATAGCATATCCATCTACTGTAGTACAAGTCCAACCTAAGGGAGGAAAGAAATAGATCAAGCAGGAGAAGAAAATCAAATTATGTTTATAACACAACACACCTGTGTTCTTAAAGGCTTCTATGGGTCTGGTCTGCAAGATCTGTCAAAGGGTAAAAGCACTTCCTATACAGGTTTGATGACTTGAGTTCAATCCCTGGAACCCATGGTGGAGGGAGAGAACTGACTCCCCAAAGTTGCCTTCTGACCTCCATACAGGTACACAGGTACACCAGCATTCATACACACAACACAATAATTTTTAAAAATTATAGAGCCAGGCGTGGTGGCACACGCATTTAATCCCAGCAAAGGCAGGCAGATCTCTGTGAGTTCAAGGCCAGCCTGGTCTACATAGTGAGTTCCAGGCCAGCTGGGGCTACTGGGAGACCCTGT